ATACCCTCATCTGCACAGAACTGATTAAACTCGTCTTTGCAAAACTCTAGCCCATTGTCCGTTCGTAGCTTCTTGATCTTCCTTCCTTGTCGATTTTCCACCAAAGCTTTCCATTGCTTGAAAACTTTGAAGGCCTCATCCTTTGACTTAAGCAACCTAAGCCATGTGTATCGGGACTTGTCATCAACAAATGACACAAAATAGTGGTAACCTCCCATACCTTCAACTCTAGATGGACCCCAGCAATCTGAATGGATGTAATCGAGCACTGCATCAGTAATGTGAGCACCCTTGCTGAACTTTGACCTGTGTTTCTTACCAAACACACAATGCTCACAAAATTCAAGGTTGGCAACCTTGACCCCGGATAGAAGACCCCTCTTGGACAATAGCTGCATCCCCTTCTCCCCCATATGACCAAGCCTCATGTGCCAAATCTTAGTCATCTCCTGGTGAGATACAGATGCGCAAACCGCAGAACTAGGCAGTGTAACACCCTCAAAAACATAGAGGGTGTTCCTTTTGATACCCTTAAGTACCAACTCAGAACCTCTGAAAATACACAACTCCCCATCTGAAAACACACCATTGTACCCCAAGTCATCCAGGGTACCCAATGAAATCAGATTCTTTCCTAAAGCAGGAACATGCCGTACATTAGTCAATGTTAACCTCCGCCCATCAACAGTCCTCAACCTCATGGAACCAATACCTGTGACCTTACATGGAGCATTGTTACCGACTATAACCATGCCCCCATTGCGAGGTTCATATGTATCAAACCAATCTCGACGTGGACACATATGGAACGAACACCCTGAATCTAGAACCCAGTTATCAGATAAATCATCAGACCTAGCAGAACTGACTAATGCTAAATCTTCCTCTGAATTATAGCTCTCATTCGGTTTCTCTTCAACTACAGCAGCCTGGGACTTGTTTTTCCTCACCGGACAATTATTCCTAAAGTGACCCGGTTCTTTACAGTAATAACATGTTTTAGTAGTAGTTTTACTAGATCCATCCTTGCCGTTTCCAGCACCCGACCCAGCATTGTTCCCCTTGTTAAACCCCTTATTCTTTTTAGACTTTCCGGACTTAACAAACAACCCACTACCATAATCCCCATTATCACTCGTAGCTTTCATTCTGAGTTCCCTAGTATGAAGTGATGCCTTCACTTCTTCTAAGGTTATAGAATCCTTACCAACAACAAAAGACTCTACAAAATTCTCAAAGCTAGACGGTAGAGATACAAGTAAAATCAACGCAGCATCCTCATCATCAATTTTAACATCTAAATTACGTAAATCAAGCAAAATAGAGTTAAGTTTTTCTAGATGTTCCCGTAAGGAAGTACCTGACTGCATCCGGAGGCTAAACAACCGCTGTTTCAGTAATAATTTGTTGGTCAACGACTTAGTCATATACAATGACTCCAGCTTCAGCCACAATCCAGCCGCCGTTTCCTGATCAGCCACCTCCGTGATGATTTGATCATCAAGACTAAGTAATATGGTAGAGTGTGCCTTCTCTTCCATAACTTCTAACTGCGAGTCAGTCGGTCCGTCTCCTGACTCCGAAGTAGTACTCTTTGGAGCCAACGGACGCCATATCTGCTGTTGTTTTAACAGAGCCTTCATCTTAATTTGCCATAGCCCGAAACTATTTTTCCCGGTAAACTTCTCAATTCTTATTGTTGAATCTCCTGCCATTGTTATCTTCAAGAAACTCTCCAAGGATTGAACCTGAGCTCTGATACCAATTGTTGTGCGACAGCGGAAGCAAAGGTCGTAAACAAACAAGAAAACAATAAAGAAATTCAATGCAAACAATAAGAACAACACCAAGAATTTACGTGGTTCACTATCGATGTGATAGCTACGTCCACGGGCACCGAGATCGAATGATTTCACTATAAACTGGCAAAGATTACAAAGATTACAATGAAGAACTTAATCACTCAAAGTATTCTCTCTCTTGTGTTTCTCTCTCCGTTACCCTAATAATGATAATAGGAAGTTTATATAGTAGTGATTCCTAATTAAGATATACTTAGGTTACAATATCACAATATGATAAATATTAAATTCGTAATCGCTGAAAAAACCCAGATCGCCCGGTCGGGCGAAGGCCCGCCCGATCGGGCGCGAGAACACGTCTTTTCCAACAACCGAAGTACTCCAAAAAACCCCTTCCGCCCGGCCCGATCGGGCAATGTCCGCCCGATCGGGCGAAGGCTCGCCCGGTCGGGCGAAAGCTCGCCCGGTCGGGCGCGCGAGAGCAGCTTCTTCAACGAATTTGCCAGGCACCTCTTCTTCTTCCGCCCGGTCAGACCGGGTAATGTCCGCCCGATCGGGCGGACAAAGCAACGAAGTACGAGTCACCTAATACTTATCAACAATCCTAAAGCCACATTAACCGTCAATTGAAACAGATGGAGTATCATTTTTTTTTATTTTTTTTTCATATACGTTAAACTAATATTGAATTAGTTTCCTAACAAATACCTTTGTTACTTCCCGTATACAAAATGTTTTCAACTAGACAATTTTTTTGATAGAAAACACTGCAACAAATTACACAATTTGCATATAATGTCAAGAAACATAACTTGTAGCTTGTAGACATAATTTTTTTTAAATCAAGTATTTTCATGTATGATGTATTGGTCAATTTTGTATCAAATTTACAAGTTTTTCCATTGAACAATGAAATCTTTGAACCTATCCAACTCCACCCTACCCTACCCTACCCTACTTCCCCAAATTCTAACTTAAATTTGCATTTCTTCCAACTTCTTTCATTCTTTTGCTTGCCTAAAATCTTGATTACAACATTTAATATGGCATAATATGAGTAGTTTTGGTTTCATAACCACCCAAACAAGACTTATAATTAACCCTCAAAACCTTCACCAAATCACCACACATTTGCTTAACAATTGGTGAAACATCACTTTGAAGCAACACCAAACACTTCCCTAAACCATTGTTCTTCCCCAATATTTCCTTCACCTTCTCATCCCTAAACAGATAGCACACACTCCACAACACCGCAACACCGTGCTCGGTCGCCTTCGCCGACACCTTCAACAACCTCCTTACGATCTCCACCACACATTTCTCCGCCTCGATGATCGCCGCTCTTCCCTCCGTACACGTGGCCATCACCTCTAGCATCTCCATTGATTTTTGAATCACCATGATTTCATTTCTCCCTGCGTCGCAGAGGATCTCGGATACTCTACGCACCACCCCTAACCTTACCATCTCCATTTTCGACGCTTTCGTGGTTGCGATTGCGATTAGCGCCATTAATCCAGCTTCAATGAAGAATCTGAATCACATTTGACCAAATTGTAAAGCTCAACAATCAAACTCCGCGTTTCGATCAACGAGGTTATCGTTTTCTTATCAATGGCGATTTTCGACACAATTTTAGCTACTGCGATCTTCGATTCGACGCTTCCATTTCGCAAAACAACAACGAATTTATCAAAACAACCAGAAATCATCATCAATTTGTTGTTAATCTTCTCACCATCACTAAAACTCAAAATCATGAAAATCAACTCCAGATTCTCGATTTTCTCATCAGATTTCACAATCAAATCCAAATACCTCTCCAAAACTCTACAATCCTCCTCCGAATTCGCCACTCGTTCGAGAATCTTCTTCAACGAGAGAGTAACATCACGCGCATTCTCCACATCCGCGAGAAGCGACGAGAGGTGAATCCGAGGGGATAAAGAGTGAGAGACCGACCAAAGATGAATCAGACGGTGAAGCGTAAGGTTAGGGACGAAGGAAGGCGAGGAGAGAGACTGCATCGTAGCAGGACAAGTGGTGTTGCCGCCATCGAGCCAAGTTTGGATGCTGGTGCGATCGTAGGTGACGCCAGTAGAGAGAGAAACAGGGGATTTCATGAGTTCGAGTGAGATAGGGCATCGGAAGTAGGTTGGGATGCTTATGCAAAGCTCGGATTGAGGTCTCGCCATTTTCATGGAGGAGAGAGAAAATGTGAGTTGCAGAGAGAGGAGAGAGAAAGATGGTGGGTTGTTGAGGAGAGAGAAAGAGGAAGAAAGGAGGGCTTTTATAGGGAGGTGCAGTCAAAAAGTCAATGGTCAGAGATTAGGAGGGTGTTTAGTCAAAGGGGGGAAGTTGGAAAAGGATTTTAAGAAGGTAAGAATTGGCGTGTGGAATATGATTGGATTAAAATATTTAAAATTGATTATGAGTTATGACAGCTTTTATTAACTCTAAATGTAAAAAAATGTTATGGTGATTAATGCATGATTTTGTATTTTGGGAATGTATTAATGCTTAAGGGTAATATTAGAGCCTTAGAAGTGTTAAGTTGAACCCTAACAACAATTATGAGGGAACTGAAACCTAATCACCCAGTACTGATCCCCGAATTCGGATTAGTCTAAAAGGTAAATCGGGTAGAACATAAAAAAAAAGTGTTAATTTTTCGAATTGGATTCGATGAGGTCAGGTTAGATTAAGTCTAATTCAAATTTAAGTCAAGCTAAATTATTATGTTCATGCAAATTGAAACCTGAATTGGATATTTTCTAGATTGATTGTGTCAGATTTTGACAGCTCTAGGTAATAGTGTAACAAATAAGTTCATACCGAATTAAGGAATATGAGAAATACTCCATAGTAAAAATAGTGGGGAAATGGAAGCAAAGCTGTGTGTAAGGTGGACTATCCGTGTGCGTGGGTGGACCGATGGTGCATTATTTAAATTTCTCGAAGTGAGAAAACAGGGGATGTTGGAATGTGGCTGTGGTGTTACGCTATTGAATTGGTTGAAATTTATGTTTGGAAATTGAGGCAGGTTGGTTGGTCCAAATTTTGGATTAGACCGTTTGAAGTTGTCATTTCAATATCACAAATTAGGAAGTAAATTCTTTGTTTTAGATTAATTTAAACACTTCGATCTTTTACAATATATATATATATATTATGTGAAAACAAATGTTAGGGTGAAAACTGAAAACGATTCATCCTAGCCGTAGATTATAATCTAGCGGATGACGTCTAACGTTTATATTCTGATTTTCTCTCTCTCCCACGAAAACAATTTCTCTCTCCTCCGTTATTTTCTTCCTCCTCTCTCCTACTTTCTCGACATTTTTTCCCTAATTTTCACGCTACTTTTTCAAATTCAGCTTCAATTACTTTGATTTTCAGCAATTTTTTAGCTCTATGATCTATTATCAGGTGAGTTTTTTGTGTTAATTTCGCTATTTTTTGCATGATTTGAGGTTTTAAGGTTTCTGAAATTTTCATCAATTTTGTTCGATTTTGTTTGATTTTGCAATTTTCTGTTCGATTTTGTTCAATTTAGTTCGATTTCTTGTTTTACTAATCGATTAACTTTAGTTTCTTCCTTAATTTTATTGATTTGTTCGGTTCAGTCGAGTTTTTCCACCATTGTTAACTAATTTGAAGTTCAACTTGTTGATTTGATTGATTTTTGCAGTGGAAGAAGAAGCGTATGAGGAGATTGAAGAGGAAGCGCCGAAAGATGAGACAGAGATCTAAGTAGAAGAAGATCTACAACTTTCACGATTTTTCACTCGTCAAACAGTTTAACCCTAATTCTCTCAAATTCGTTCTTCAAATACTCCAATGTTGCTCGCATTTGTATGTTTTTCTTTCTCATTTCTTGTCAATTATTGGTATATTATGATTGCGAATTCGAGTTTTTGCGATATTTGATGCTTTTGGTTGATATAGAGTGTAGTTGTTGGAAATTAATGATATTAGGTGATTAACTATATTAATTTTTTTTCCATGATTTTGATGCGAAATGCTGCTCGTTTCGCTCGATCTAACTTAGTCTTGCTTTAGATTTGTTTGTTCGTCTGATTTTCTGTTGAATTTTGTGTCTCTTTGGTTAATTTTGGTTAATTTTTGGGCTCCCTTTGCTATCTCATCAATGTGGAGATGCGTAAGGGTTGGAAATTGGTTTGTTGATTGCCATTGGATATTAAGACTTTGTAAATGTGAATTAGGAGTGCGCTTAGATCACTGAATCTATTACTGCTATTTTGGGGTTGCATTACAAGGTTTAGCACGTATATGACTGATCAGATATCTGCATTATTGCTTTCCTTTTTTCTTTTGCAAGTTTTCTGATCTGCATTATTGCTTTCCTTTTTTTCTTTCCCTCTGTTGCCTTCTGTTTTCTGCTTTCAGCTTCTTTCCCTGAGGCTCATATGACATGTTTATCTGCTGTAATTGGATATCTCGGCTCTGCTTTTGTTGAGGAATGGGCTTACTTGCTGTTGTCTTTGATGTTTCACGAGCATTTGAGTTATCAGGTGTATAGAACTGCAATGTTTCTGCCATGATCAAATTTCTTTTTTTTCTGGCACTACCATTCGTTGTAATGTTTCTGTGGAAAATGTAGCTTCTTGTTGCCTTTGTTTAATGCTTCTAACTTTTGCCTCCTTTCTGATGTCTTTGGCTCTCACCATCTTGGTTCAAGTGAATAGATTTACTTTGCAGTTAATTTATTTTGAAGATAGCTGCTTTTGACTCTTTTATGTAGTCTTTGATTCCCTCTCCTTCCTCATCCCACTTTGGTTTCAACGGACCAGTTGTCGTTTTATGACTACTGGTTGATCTGTAGGTTGCTCCTTGCAGCTCTATTTTATGAGTTGTCAATATTGTTATTTTGTTGCTGTGTGCTTTGTTCTGATTAACTTGGATTTTGGTATTTTTAGTGTACTCTGTGTTTAAACCAGCACTTTTGGAGTTTCTTGCGGCGGAATGAACCGAAACCAGTTCCCTCGATCCTTGGTGGGACAATGGACTCTCTGTGGCACCCTTGTTCTGTGGAAGTTCCTCAAGTCCCATTAACTTTGCAACAACATTAGGAAGTCTAGCTGCATTGTGTTTCGGTTTTAAGGAATTAGTTCTATAAGTGCATGCTAGATATCCTAAATTTTGTTATTATCACTGCCTTGCTTTTGTTTTTGCTTTTAAATGTAAAACACGGTAATTATTTGCTTATTTCAATAATTTCTTAGCTATCTACAATCTATAATATTTGATTCAAAAGCTTGCTTTGACAGATTGTTAGAAGTTGAAAGCTGATTCGTTGGAATCGGATAGCTTATGGTTCCTGGTAAGGTACAGAAGAATCACAATTTGGCTAATACAAAGTTATCAAATGACAAGGAGGAGCAGGAGAAGTTATATGATGACAAGGAGGAGAAGGAGAAGTTATCTTAATTTTGTATATCGTGACCTTTATGTAAATATGGTCAAAATTGATATAGTTACCTTATTTTTGTGTATAGTGACCTTTATGTAAATATGGTCAAAATTGATATAATTACCCTTTTTTGTATATAGTGACCTCTAAGTAAATATTGTAAAAATTGATATAGTTACCTTATTTTTGTATATAGTGACCTTTGTGTAAATGTTGTCAAATTGATATAATTACCTTAATTTTATATATAGTGACCTTAATGTAAATGTTGTAAAAATTGATATAGTTACTATATTTTTGTATATAGTGACCTCTGTTTTTCGTTTTCACCATAAGCCCTGTTTTCAACGGAACCTCCCCGTATATATATATATATATATGTGTGTGTGTGTGTGTGTGTGTGTGTGTGTGTGTGTGTGTGTGTGTGTGTGTATTATATATATATAGGGAGTGGATCATGTAAAAACAAGGCTTAAATTGAAAAATGAAAACATACAATCTCCACCGTCCATAAATATCGATGGCTGAGATTAGATGCATCTCAATCAATAAAATTAAATCTGATACATTAAGGGGTTGTTTGGTTCACTGGAATGGGGAAAGGGAATGGGAATGATTCCCTTTGTTAGTATTTGTTTTCACTTTTTTGTCATTCCCATTCCCCCATTTTTTTTTTTGGGTTTACCCAAAAATCTCCTAAACCCATTCCCCACCCCCTACCTTTTGCATTCCCATTCCCCAACCACCATACCTTATTAACTGGATGCATCTCGCCGGAGCTTGCTGCACCTCGTCAGAACTCACTTCACCTCGCCGGATGGTCGTTGACCTTCCCTCGACCCTCGCCGCCCTTCGCCACCCATCCTCCCACCCACTGGTGGAGGTGGTGGTGAAGCTATGCCGTGCGTCGACTGCGAAGGGGAAGGGGAAAAAGGTGGCTGACTGGTGGAGGTGGTGGTGTTATTGGTTGGTTGGTGGAATGGTGGTATGGTGGTTAGATGGTGGCTTGGATCCCTTTGTTATTCAAAACAAACAACATAGCAAAATTGGGGGTTTTTCATTCCATTCCGATTTTTTCACTTTGTTCATTCCATTCCGATTACCCCGTGCGAACCAAACGGCCCCTAAAATTTATTTGATCACACAGCCACAAATTTCTTATTCTCACTCCCCTCATTCTGGTTAATTCTCTCTCCTCTCTTTTTTGAGGTACTACGTACAAAATTTGGGGATTTTTTTTTTCTCACCTCTTCTCTCTCTCCTCACTTGAGAAATCACACCTAGATTATTTTGATCAATCGATCAGATTACTCATTGTGATTTCGATCTAATTACAAAAAGTCCTAGAAAATTGATAACGTTGATTACGAAATTTATAGGTGTTGAAGTGTGAGTCTTTGCAATTAATTGGAGAAATGTAGATTATTGATGATTCAATTGAAGTATTTTGAAGGTGGATGAAAATGAGAAGAAAAGGTGGTAAGTGTCATTGAAATTGCCTTTTCACTTTCTCTTTGTAAGCTGAAGGTACATCAATGGTGGTCTTTCAGATTTGTTCACTTTCAGACTCCGACAAACACTACCAGCAACGTCGCCGTGGCTATGGTGGTTTTGTGGCAAGAAGGGAAGCAACCTCAAGGTTGTTTTCGTGGGTTTTATGGATGTGATTTTTGTGGATTTGTGGGTGGTCTGGGTTTAAGGGTTTCAGTGGGTTTATGGGTGGTTTCAGTGATTTTTGGTGGGTTTGTTGGTGGTTTCGGTGATTTTCGGTGGGTTTGTGGGTGGTTTCGCTGGGTTTGTGGGTGGATTCGGTATTTTTGGTGGGTTTCGGTGGTGGTGGTGTTCTGGGTTTGGGGGTTATGGTGGTGGTGGTGGTCTGGGTTTGGGGTTTCGATGGTGTCGGTGGTCTAGGTTTGGGGGTTTCGGTGGTGGTGGTGGTCTAGGTTTGGGGTTTTTGGTGGTGTTGATGGTTGTGGTGGTCTAGGTTTGGGGGTTTCGCTGTTGTTGGTTGTGGTGGTGGTATGACATGGAGAGGGGTAGAAGGGGAAGCTCCTGCAAGCCCTGGAAGCAGCGGGTATGCTGGGGAGAGAGGTAGCAGTAATGCCTGTAGTGTATCTGGGATTCTCAACCAGCTTAGGCTCCCGGCAATGTCAATGAGATCTCTCTCTCAATCACTCCCCTTTCAATACTTCATCATCATCATACTATTTACTTATTATAGTATAAATGTATAATCATATCAATTCGAAAAAGTGCTTTTTTGATGAGTATGCATTTTTTTGATTAACAATTAGTTATTCGGAACCCAAAGATAGATGTATAATCTTGGATAAATATGTTTGTTTGTGGGTATTGGTTTACGGAGGGAGTAATATGTATGGCGATGAACATAAGCTTGCTGGATTTTCAGCAACATTGCAAGCTATAATTAATATAGTTATCTTATCTTTGTATATAGTGACCTTTATGTAAATGTGGTCAAAATTGATATAGTTATCCTACTTTTTTATATAGTGACTTCTATGAGAATATGATCAAAATTGATATAGTTACCCTATTTTTTATATAGTGACTTTAATGTAAATGTTGTAAAAAATGATATAGTTACCCTATTTTTGTATATAGTTACGTTATTTTTATATATAGTGACTCTACGTTATTTTTCTTAAACCGTTAGATCTTGTTAGTAATAATGGATGGTTGAGATTTTCTGTTTTTAGTTTTTACCATAAACCCTGTTTTCAGACAAAATTACAAAAGTTTAATATTTATTTTTTTTACCTATAATTTATAATGAATTTATTAAATATAAATAATTGTAAATATGATATTTTTTTCCGTTATATAAAATCTTTAATGTGAAATGATAAATTTTTAATAATTTAAATCATAAATCATTATTCATTGTTTTACCATATCTTTTATTTCAATAGAATCACCAACCTCGTCCACAACCAACCTACTACGTCATGGATAAATTGAACCATGAAATGTTAGCCAAACTGAAATTGATATAAATTAAATCTTTACATTTATATAAAATAAGTCAATATATTTACCAATAAATGAAAAATTGTTGCGATATAAAATCAAATCTATGCATTGGAATTTTTTCATCATCTCCAAAAATAACCAAAGCCATCTATATATTAAGTATAAAACATATAATTGTATGCCATTACATAAACAAATAATCGTTAAGTATCCTAAATAAATACAATGTAACTAATAATTACAAATATAAATTTAAACATAAGATTTTAAAAATTACCCGGATATAAATGACCTAAAACTAATACAAAATTACTAACACAAAATTCGCTTGATGGGGTTTTGTATTGATACAAAATTTTATTTGTGTCGTATGATGTGTTAGATTTGCATGTAAAAAAACATTTAGTAAATAAAACATAAACATATAATTGTTGAGTATCCCAAATTAATACAATGTAAGTAATAATTAGAAATACTAATTTAAACATAGGATTTTAAAAATTAAGCTAAAAATTACTCGGCCATTGATGACAAAAAATTAACACAAAATTACTAACACAAAATTTGCTTGATGGGATTTTTTATTGATACGAAATTTTGTTTGTGTCGTATGATGTGTCAATTTATAATGGTAGTTTTCACAAATTTTAATTTAATTATGATTAACGAACAATTTGTATTTCTTATCACAAATACTATCAAAATTTATCTTATAGTGATAGGTATCAAACTTTATTATAAGCGTTTATCATTTAAATATTTCTTAGTATATTTTTTTTTGGATTTCTTATACTCGTAGTATTGAATTAATAAATTTATCTTTTCCTATATTTAGACTTTATTTTTTTTCATTAAAATAATTTAATTTGTGGATTATAATCTACGTGACATTAAAATTTTAGATATATCAAATCTAATTCGTTACTTTTATCTAGGTGGCGACATAATTTTTTAATTCAAAAATAAAATACAACTCTTTCTTCTTATTGGTCGAAATAAGTATATTTCTTACGTGGCGCTCCGAATACTCTCCAAAAATGCCTACTTTATTTATATATATTAATTTTTTTTTGAGGTGAAGCCGAGGGGCAAACCCCATACATATCTCTGTTTTTTGAATTGATACGTTTTAATTTTAGCGCTATTATTTTATATGTTCGTGATCAAACTTGGTCCTTAACACGTGTTCTTATCAAGTTGTTGCATATATTTAAGAACACAAGAAATATAAAAGCATGAATTATATACTACCTCCGTTAAATATTAATTGCAACTTTAGGGCATTATTTGAGAGACATAAAATATTCCAAAGTTGCAACTAATTTTTAAAGAAGGTAGTACACAAAATATCACATGTAATTTTTGTCTATTATATTTTTTTTTTGGACGGACTTTTGTCTATTATATATCTATGTGACGCAATCAACTACTTATTAATCAACTAGGCAACAACAATTTTATGTTACATTATATGACAGAGTTGCATAGTCACCAGGAGTAACCATTGTATGAGAAGTATCATGTTCTACAGGCTACCTTTACAACAATAAACAACTTTTAGGTCTATACTCATTCGTCTTCCAATGTCTAGAGAGAAACAGCTGACAACAGTTATGGATCCTGATGTTTGGGGAAAAAGTAGAGAGAAACAATTGGCATACTAGAGAGAAACAACTGGCATATTAAGAAATGAAATAAACATTTAAGGATACATCCACAAAATTATATCAGGAAATATATGCACGGATAGAGAGACTATTAAGGATTCGAATTCAATTTATCTACATGTATAAGTTATCTGATTAGCTGTTAAATTTGTCGTTTTAATATAAATTACCCTTTTGAAAAGATTACTTAAAGACACGTTGCCTTCATGAATTTTGAAAATGATTCCTTAAAGATTTACAACACCAAAAAAAGGAATTTCAAACTTACGCAGTAAATTTTTTCAAATAAAATATAATAAAGTCATGCGTTAAATAAGTTATCATCAACACATCAATACTAATCTATTGAAAAGCGTTCATACACATCAACTCAACTTCTTATTACGTCACGTGGCTCTCCCTTTCCATATGTTTCTCATTACATGTCATACACTTATAATAATTTATCATCCACCCAACTTCTTATTACGCCACGTGGCTCTCCCTTCTATATGTTTCTCATTACATATCATACACTTATAATTGAAAAAGTTCTCGACAAGATTTGAACATGCCTCTAATTCTAGAATTAATTGACTTACCACCAAGTTATGTGATATTTTATGTTATCTTTTAATACAAAATATTAATGTATAATAAATTTAGTTCCAAGATAAAATGTAATAAAACGGGGCATCGCCCGGGCCCAAATGCTAGTTATTATATACGTAATACATTAAAACCCGCTAACACATTCCTCTAACTTCCCCTTTCCTCCCCTCCCCTCCCCTGCCCTCCTTTATCCTCAATATATATGTATGCTATTCGAACAAAATGATAGAGTAGTAATAGAAATTTATGTATACGATTTTATGCGTGGGATGAAATTAAAATTTTCCTTACAACAATTACTACAATAGCATTCAAACGAACTATATAGAACCTTATGTTATAATGAATGCATAATTTACCCTATAATATGCGGAGTATAACTCTCTCCGTTTTTAAGTTGATGCAAATGATATGAGGTAAAAGGAGTATCAAAATTTTGAGCTATTGACACTTATGATCTTGTCATGGGTCCATAGTGACCATAATGAGTTGTTTATACATAAGAAAAAAACTTAATTATATATGTGAGATATTTTCAAATTGGTCTCAAATCTCTCAAAAAAATAGTTTTGAAATATAAACCTTCAATAATTTTTATTTAAGCATAATCTCTGTTATTTAAGCCAAAGGATATAGTAGTGGTGTCCACCTAAAATATTCTTATATAGTAGTGGTGTCCACCTAAAATATTCTTACCCTTCTAAAAATTGTCGGTATATATAAATTTAGAAACCTAAAACACGCATTATTTGCATATTGATCTAGTGTAATTGTATCTATAAATAAGAGGCTGTGCATCAGCAAATATGAAAGTTAATATAATACAACTTAAAACCATTCCATGTTTAGGCAAATTTTCTTGATAGTCTATAGACTCTTCACAACTACTACAAATCAACGCAATAGACTCTTCACAACTACTACAAATCAACGCAAGAAGAAAAATATCTCATAGAAATAAAGGTGTTCACTCCATCACATGCATACAATGCTATTATAAAGATGCATTGTTAGCCTTCTAAACCAGAAATCTAACATAAATAACATAATATGACAAGTTCCATACAAGTTACATACTCAAACTCTGTTCACTGCGCCTTCTTTATCAACATGTGTGAAGTAAATGCATCTCGACATCAGCAGAATCCGAATTCGTAGTGAGATCAATGTGATCATACGTGACCGATCTTAGAAAAGCATTATCTGTTTCCATAGAAGATGTGATCATACTAGAAATTCTTGTTGTCAAACCTTTGGTTTGATCAACTGGTGTAAGAGGTCGCGTACAAGATGAATTTCGATACCTTAGCCTTTCTAGTACCATTGTAACTTCTTTCATCGTCGGCCTTTCTAGTCCTGTAGGATACAAGCATTGTTTTGCCAGATTAGCAAATTCCACGACATCCTCTTTTTTGCTACCCTCCAAAACCAAAGGATCAAGAATTTCAAACAGAGTGTTGTCATTCATTGATGAGACGAAATACATAGCCAAGCTTCTTTCTTCTTCATCTTTGTCTATTGGTCCTAGTGCGCGTATTGGTTTTTGTCCCGTTAGAAGCTCGACCAAAATTACTCCGAAGCTGTAAACATCACTCTTTTCAGAATATTGGCCCGAATAGAAATACTCAGGATCCAAATAACCAAACGTTCCTTGGACACAAGTTGTCAAATGAGTTTGTTCCACAGAAACTGCTCTAGAAATCCCAAAATCTGACAATTTTGCTCCAAACTTATCATCCAAAAGAATGTTGCTAGATTTAATGTCTCTGTGGTAAATTGGTGTTGAAAACTCTGAATGCAGATAAGCAATTGCAGTAGCAGTTTCGAAAGCAATATTCAAGCGCATTTTCCATGTGAATATGATCTCGCCAACAGGTTTTTGGATGTGTTCTGAAAGAGTCCCATTACAAATGAGCTCGTACACTACAAGAGGTATGTCATCTTCAAAACAACATCCAAGAATCTTCACCACATGTCTATGTTTGATTTGAGATAATAGAATAACCTCGTTGATGAATTGTTTCCATTGGCTTTCGTCAAGGGCTCTTGATCTTTTAACCGCGATAACTTGACCATCTTTTAACATTCCTTTGTAGACAGTACCTTGACCTCCTTGTCCAAGCACACGATCCTTGCTAAAGTTGTCTGTATATCTCTTAAGTTCCGTTAGTGTGAAGAGTTTAGTCTTCTCTCTAACGTCGCTATTTGAAGATCCTTGTACCTCAAGCTTGTCCTTGAAGTATTTTGCTCTAAGTCTGATCTCCTTTCTTCTCTTTTTAGTTTTAAATCGCCAGCACCCCCAACAACTTCCACATATTATTAGTGATATGCCAACAGCTGCATCATATATAATTATGTTGAGTTTATAACTAAGGCTAACAAAAAAAAATTATCCTTTGATTACAAAAATCACGAGTGTAGACAATGTAGTAATTAAGTTCGAGCTCAATCCCAAATCCGACAAAAGAAAGAATTTGTATGAGTTATTAATTGTTCTTGAGCTTCCGCTTTGGAAAGCGTGAACGAATGTAATGGATAAAGTAGAGAGCAATTATCTTACCTGGACAGAGGAGCACAAGGATGCTCGTCACTACAACCGCTGTAAAAAAAATTGGCAGTCATTACAAATTAGCGAAATTACATTTAGAAACCTTTTATTACAGCCAAAGTTGGATAACTCACTTTCATAATTGAATCTTCTAACCTATTATTAAAAAGGTACTGTAATAGATATTTGTAACTTTATGATTTTGTACAAAAAAAAGTTATTTTACTGTAATAATTTCGTTTCGATTTATTTCATTATACAGCAGTACAACACTCTCTCTCAAGACAGTAATTTCACCATAATGAGTACACCTATAAAAAAAAGTTTATTTTAATTAAAAATAAAAATCTATCTGGGGTAAAAAAGAAGTCAATCTTGTAACTGCAATAATCACATGAATCAAATAGAATGATGGATGACATCTGTTTGGGGTCCAAATAACTTATATTTGGGCCCAGCCCACAAATGAAAATAAACTAAGCCCAATAGTGAAGGTTCAACTCTCCAACCCATGCCAGGTTAGTCAACGAAGCCTAGTCAATTGGTCAGCCCATTTGGCTCCTCTAGCCCAATCCATTCATTTGGATCAAGGTATAAATACTCTCATTTTGATAATCATTGATTCACATTCATCGGCTCAAGCAACAAACTCTCTTGCATAGCTATTCTCTTCTTCTTTGACACTCGTACTGACTTCGGCATCGGAGGGGCCTTCCTCGGCACAATCCCCGAGCCCAGTTTACGTTTGTTCAGCTGTGCAGGAACTCCTCAATTCGGACATCCATCGAATTGGGCTTCGTCTCCACTCATTCGAAGGACCTACCGAAGGTCCTATTGTTTTCTTACCGAAATAATTTGGCGCCGTCTGTGGGGACACTTACAAAAAGTCAGCCAAAAATCTCAAACCGACCTTAGCCTATTCAAAAAAGACTAAGAGCGGGAAAAACTCGAAAAAAGCTAAGAAGATGGGCATAATCACGACGAGGACCAATAGGACACCCTCGCCGTCGCCCGAACCATCTGCCTCTTCCTCGAAGAGTCCCCGCTCTCCGAGAAGAGAAAATCTGCATGAGGGATCTCCCTCCCGACGGATTCACCGAGCTGTGAATTCACCGAAAGGGAGTGAAGTTCACGATGAAAGCCCTCCGCAAAGCATGCGCTCCCAGTCGCATCCAAAGTCAACTCCTCCTACTATCCCTCCTATGGAGGAGGTGGCGAAGGTAGTGGCTGTTTGCATGGAGTTCATGAAAGCCCTGGGTGGACGCCTCCCATCCGTGCATGATACTCCTCCTTCACCCCCGCCGAAGCCAAAGAGCCATAAAAGAAAATGGGCTCCGGAAGGGGAGGGACGAGTTCAATCCTCCAGGGGGGAAGGAAGCCGAAAAGGAGAGGAACTGGCCCGATCCGAATGGGAACCGAGAAGGGACTCTTGTCACTTCGAAAACTCTAAAGTTCGGAACTCCAGAGACTTCCCCGAACAGTCACGAGCCTACCCGCCAAAGCGTTCACGAGCGGTTAGGAGGGAGGGAAGGAGGCGTGCACAACCGCCTCACCTATCCTGAAGGGTCTGAACCCGCTATGTCACGCGAAGGGACACCCCTCACCTCCACCTCTCTAAGAGGGAGAAGTGAGGTTCCTTCGGCGCGGCAAAAGGAAAAGGTCGTGATGGTTCCCACCAGTTCACCTTTCTAGAGGTGGATATTGGAGGAACATGTGCCGACGGTCAAAATTCCGGCACACATCACTTACGATGGTACTTCGGATCCGAAGGACCACATAGCCTCTTACGAGGGGCATATGTACCTTAACCCCAGGTCCAAAGCTACCTGGTGCAAATACTTCCCCACAACCCTTAAAGGTGTTACCCAGTCATGAATCACCAAAGGGCTGAAGGAAGGCTCTATAACGGGTTGGAATGATCTCTCCAGCAAGTTCAAGAGCAAGTTTTCCATGGCTAACCGCCGAGAGAAAACCACTGCAGAGCTCACGGGCCTGTAGCAAGCGGAAGACGAAAGTCTCCGAGATTACTTGACTCGCTTCAGCAACGAGTCGTCCAGAATCACAAGTCTGGACCAAAGTCTAGCCGTATTCGCACTACGGAATGGCTTGCAAGCTAGAAAATTTCTGGATTTCATGGTCATGCATCCCCCGCAGACCTTGGAAGAAGCCCTCGATGCTTCGGATAAATTCATCCGAGCCGAGGAATGGATCAAGGCCAAGCTGCAATCTCAATCAGGGCTTGCAAAGCCAAGAGGGAAGCAAGCCGAAGTTCTAGGGTCGAGGAAAGAGAAGGCAAAAGCCTCAGAACCTCCCTCGACCGCTGAGCCAAAAAAGGACAAGGCTCCCTATCTGCGAAGGTTCGAATCTTACACTCCTCTCACCTTACCACGTGCTAAAATCTTTAGCACGACCAAGGACGAGGGAAGATTCAAGAAGCCGAAGCCACCTCCTTCATGGCACCAGAAGAAGGGGAAGGATCATTGGTGCGAATTTCACGAATCTCATGGACATCGCACCGAAGACTGCCTTCAGCTAAAGGATCAGATTGAAGAGCTGGTCCAAAAAGGGTACTTAATAAACTACGTTGCGGAGCACCGCGAAGAAAAGAAAGCTGAGAAAGACTCTCGTCAAGATCTGGATTACCTCCGGAAAAGGGACAAGTCGAATGAGGGGGGAAACCCCGATATTCTCACCATTTCTTGAGGGATTTCTCGGAATTCACTAAAGCGCAATTTGAGGGGCTTAACCCATCAAATACACCACGCTGAATTCCAAAGGCCACAGTCTCCGGTGCAGAACATGATGTTCACAGCCGAAGACTGCAGGGGGGTGGTGTACCCCCATGATGACCCGTTGGCAATCATGACAGGAATTGCAAACCACAATGTCTATCAAACACTGGTAGACGGTGGCAGCGGGGCGAATATACTTTTCCGAAAGGCATTCGACCAGCTGAAGTTGAAGAGCAGACACCTAACTCCAGCTCCCTATTCGGTAACTGGGTTCAATGGATCTTCTTCATATCCAGATGGGAAAATTCTTCTTCCCGTTAGCCTCGGCCGAGATCGGGCAAAACGGTGCATCATGGCCGAATTCTTAGTCATTGATGCCCCATCGGTATACAACGTTATCATGGGGAGACCCCTCATCCATGACGTTTAAGGAGTTGTCTCGACGTACCATGAAGCCATGATTTACGTTTCAGACAAAGGACACTCCGAAAAAATCTTGGGCACCCAAAAGGAGGCCCGAGAATGCAATTTCCTCAAACCGTCTAAAAGTCGCCGCAACGACAAGGATGATGAGGAAGTAAAAGAAAAAGAAAAAGAACTAGGTACTAAAAGGCTTAAGTGCTTCGGCTCAGGAATCCCCATATAAAAGAACATTTTTGGGGATCGGAAAGGCTAGTTCTTCGGCTGGGCCGAAAGACTTAGAAGAAGATCAGCCGAAGTCAGGGAGGTCTGCTGATATTGACAGTAGGCCTGAATCCGAAGAATCTGGCTCCAAATCAATGGAGTTAGATGAGCAAACTGAATCAATACCGTTGACTGAAGGAGATACCGAAAAATGTGTCAGCATCGGACAAGGACTTGATCTGAGCTTCCGGGTTGAGCTAATCCAACTCCTTCGGGAAAACCGAGATGTGTTCGCGTTCTCAGCAGCTGACATGCCGAGGATTGATTCGAACCTCATCTCTCATAAGCTTAACGTCGACCCCACATGTCGGCCTGTTAAGCAAAAGAAGCGGAATTTAATCCGCTCAAAAGAACCAAGACATCGCAGCCGAAGTCAAAAAACTTCTAGATGCGGGGTTCATCAAACCTTGCCAATATCCGGAAAGGCTGGCTAATGTGGTGATGGTTTAGAAGGCAAATGGCACTTGGAGAATGTGCGTTGACTTCACGGACCTAAATAGGGCATGTCCGAAGGACTTCTATCCCTTGCCGAAAATCGATCAGCTAGTCTATTCGACAAGTGGCCATGCTTTGCTTAGTTTCATGGACGCGTTTTCTGGGTACCATCAGATCTTCCTGCACCCCGATGACAGAGCAAAAAGGGCATTCGTTACAAGTGCCGGGGTCTATAACTATAAGATGATGCCCTTCGGCTTGAAAAATGTCGGAGCGACATATTAGAGGCTAGTGGACCAAGTGTTCGCCGAACAAAAAGGCCGCAACATGGAGGTCTATGTTGACGATTCTATCGTCAAGAGCAAAGAGGCTAAAAATCATGTTGCGGACCTAGCTGAAACATTCGCCACTATGAGAAATCACCAAATGAAGCTGAATCCGAAGAAGTGTGTCTTCGGCGTGAAGTCAGGCAAGTTCCTTGGCTTCATGGTCAGCAAAAGCGGGATTAATGCCAATCCCGCCAAACTCCAAGCAGCTCTTGATGTTCCCGAGCCGAAGATAAAGAGAGACGTTCAGCGTCTTACTGGGAGGATGACTGCCTGTCCAGGTTCATCTCAAAAGCCTCGGACAAAGGGTTGCCCTTCTTCAAGGCACTTAAACTCCCAAAATCTAAAGAGCTTATATGGGAAGAGGAGTAGAAAATAGCTTTTTAGCAGCTCCGAGAGCATTTGGCTCATCTCCCAACACTGGCAAGACCAGCCAAAGGAGAAACCCTGTACTTGTATGTGGCGGTCAGTCCGGCCACAGGAAGTGTGGTGCTGCTGAGAGAAGAAGAAAAGGTCCAGCAGCCGATCTACTTTGTCAGCCACACTCAGACAAATTCCGAAACCCGCTACCCCTTACTCGAAAAAGTTGCATATGCAGTGGTGGTAGCGGCTTGGAAGTTAAGGCCCTACTTTGACTCACATCAAATAGTGGTCTTGACAGATCAACTGCTGGAAAAAGTCCTCGGGAAGGTTAAAAAATCAGGCAGATTAACAAAGTGGGCCTTCGAGCTCACCGAGTTCAGCATAAGCTACCAGCCGAGGGCAGCTATTAAGGCCCAAGCCTTAGCAGATTTCCTAGCCGAATGTTCCTACCAGGAAACACTCGACGAAGGAAGGAAGATTTGGACTGTTTTCACGGACGGCTCAGCCACCG